CTGGGCATGTCTTTTAGGAGCATGCTTAATGTACTGACATGCTGTAGTGTAATTTTGCAACTTGCCTGTCTCACTTAACATTATGTTTTCAAGATTTTCCCATTGATATTTATATTTAGTTCATTTATTTTTGGTGCCAAAAAGTTTGTATGCTGTACTACAGTTTATTTATGTATTCTACTATTGATGGACAGTTGGTTGTTTCTAGATTTTCTTTTTCTTTTCTTTTTTCTTTTTTTTTTTTCGAGTTGGAGTCTCACTCTGTCACCCAGGTTGGAGTACAGTGGCACGCTCACAGCCACCACAGCCTTGACCTGCTGGGCTCAGGTGATCCTTCCACCTCAGCCTTCCAAGTAATAGAACTACAAATGCATGCCACCACACCTGGCTAATATTTTGATTTATTGTAGAGATGAGGTCTTACCAAGTTGCCCAAGCTGGTCTCAAACCCCTGAGCTTAGGCAATCCTCTAGCCTTGGCCTCCCAAAGTTCTGGGATTACAGGCTTGAGCCACTGCTTCCGGCATCATCACAGCTGCTTTTACGCTTGCTTTCAGACATCTTGGACTTGAAATAGATACTGTACTACTGTACTTTATTTTTTATTTTTAAATTTTTTTTCTGAATTGGAGTCTCACTTCATCACCCAGGCTGGAGTGCGGTGGTATGCTCATGGCCACCCCAGTGTCGGCCCGCTGAGCTCAGGAGATCCTCCCACCTCGGCCTTCCAAGTAGCCAGAACTACAGGCACACGCTACCACGCTCGGCTAATTTTTTCAATTATTATAGAGACGAGGTCTTGCCAAGTTGCCTGGGCTTGGGCAATCCACTCGCCTCGGCCTCCCGAAGTGCTGGGATTACAGGCTGAACCACAGAGCCTGGCCCTGTACTTTATATACTACCTACTAGGGTACACAAAAGCACAATCACTTGTAGAGAATGCACACACATGTCAATGTACACCAGCCACATGAACTTGCGTGATTGGACATGCAAATGCACATTCACGTCTTTGAAAGTTCACAACTTGAAGGTTCATATGTAGCGAACTTCCTGTACATAGATTTGAGATTGCTTTAAATGCTCACAAATGGGTTCCTCCCAGGAGGAGACTTTGGTGCTGGCTCTTTCTCCTCTGTGTTTTAAGGGAGATGGTGAAAGGGAGTCTTTGGCACTGCTTGTATGCCAGGGCAGGGGACTTGGGGCTGAGCCCTCTCTAGGAACTTACGAGTATGTGTTCTAAGTCCAAAAGTTAAGCTTGGGATTGAGGAAGTAAAACATACTTGGCAGATGTCACACTGTTACTGGAACTCTCACTGTGGTATTGACTTTGTCTCTGTTTTCTGTTTCTTTCACTAACTACTTCCAGTCCAGAATGGAGGCTTCTGTTTATCTCACTAGAATAAGCTCCCAATTTTCTGTACCTCTGCCTTCTCGTGAGCCAAATAATAAACTTAGGGATGATTTTTAAAATAATGATTGGTCATGGTGGCTCACACATGTAATCTCAGCACTGGGAGTCTGTGGTAGGAAGATTGCTTGAACCCAGGAGTTCAAGACCGTCCCAGGCAGCATAGTGAGACCCTGTCTCTACAAAAATAATAATAATTATTATCTAGGCATGATGGGGTATGCCTGTAGTCCTAACTACTCAGGAGACTGAGGCGGGAAGATCATCTGAGCTCAGGAGGTTGAGGCTGTGGTGAACCATGACAGTGCTACTGCACTCCAGCCTGGACAACAGAGTGAGAGTCTGACTCAAAATAATAATGATAATAATAATGATTGATTTATAATAATAGCTGATACTTATGGACCACTTACTGTATACCAGGTACTCTGCTGGAAAGCATTTTACATGTACATCTTGTTTGTTCCTCACAACCACCAAATAAGATAGGAAACTACCTCTTATCAACAGGGTGCCTGAATGAAACGTAATTGTACACCTAACCCTTAACTGTACCCCACAAAACCATAATAAAAAATACTGATTAATGGAAAAAAAAAAAGATAGGAAACTGTCATTATCCCCACTGGGTAGCCATGGAAATGAGGCTCCAGAAGTTGAGTGACTGGCCTGGATCTTCCTTGGAATTCCAGCTGTGCTTTCTTTCAGCCATCCATGCTGGGAAACAAGTTCAAGCAAAGCAGCCCTGAGCTGCTCCCTTTTCATTCCCTTCAAGAAGCTCCTTGCTGGTGCGGAAGTTATTTTGTATAAAGGCATCCATTAGAAGTTCGCCATTCCCTGTAAGTTTCTCACTAGAGACTTTCCCCTGTTTTCTCTTTAGAAGTCTCTGCTTTGGAGAATCATTTTCAAGCAGGGAGAGCAGGAAATGCATGAAGGGGAGAAAAGGGAAGAGATGAATGTAGTCAGCCTCCTTCCCCCACCCTAGTTAAGAGGGTCCACGACACAGGTGCTGTGAGAGTCCCCAACAGAGCCAGTGGTCTGGTAGACAAAAAGCAGCCTTTGCAACAGGGAGACCAGGGTTCCTCCCGCAGTATGACAACTGACGGGCTGGGTGACCTTGGACAGGCAACTTGGCCCTCTGTAAGGGGAGAATGGCACTTCCCATAGCCATCTGTGATAAGGATGAAGTGAGGTAGCATCTGTGCCAAGCCTAGCACACACAGCAGATGCACCATGGTGGAGGCGAGCTCCCTTTTTCTAGCTCTCTGGTTCATCTTTGGAGGCTCTAGGCCACACTCACCAAGATCAGCTGATGGGGAGGGAGCCTGGCACCGTGGATATAGATGATTTTCCTCTGTCTAGGCACCCCAAATGGGTGGCTTCTTTGCATCCAACTTTGACTGTGGTTATTTTACCAAGTTGGTTTCTGTTTATGCACAGTCACACACCCGGCCTTGCCATATACCTGGTGCCTTATTGCCTTGGGCTCTTAGGCGTGGGCCTGGACAAGCTGTTCCGTGGTGGAACCATCTGAGGACTCCTCAGCAGTTAGCTGGAGGCTCCACGTCCTTTCCTTGCTGTGTTGGGCCCCACAGGCGTGAACTCAAAAGAGGCTGGCACCATGGTAACACAGACAGCCCCTTAGAGTAGACCCTCAGAGACCGAGGCACTGAGCCAGGAGGTGGGCTTCTTTGCCTTCAGACGCATTTCTCCTCCCTTCCCTGTCCTCTGTGCCTGCTTGTCCTCCACAGACCACTCCAAGCCCGGGCTTCAGCAAGCCTGCTGCTGTGTCCAACCACAACAGTGGACAGGCTCCGGGTTACCCTGGCACTCAAAATTGCCCAATATCAGAAACATACTGCCTCTGAACCTTGCTAAAGCATTTTTGGAACTAGGGGAGTGGTGACACTGAGGTGCTCATTGGTAGCTGGCTGGCCCCGTGGCAGTCTCCAGCCCCAGGTTCCCTTGAGGCTGCTTCCTCAAGGCCAGACCCTGATATTCAGGGATGGAGATACCTAATGTGGGCCCCAGGCCTGGGGGAAGAGCACACAGCTGTTAGGAGGAGTCTCTTGTGCTCCATACATAGGACTTCTCAGGAGTCCTGTCCAGCACTGAGCACGCCTTAAAAGCCCAGGGGGAACACTGGCTGCACGGCTGCACGTGTGTGTGTGTGTGTGTGTGTGTGTGTGTGTGTGTGTGTGTGTGTGTATGTGTTTGTGTGTGTGATATGGCAGGAATGGCTGTCCTCAGGAGCCCATTTCTCTATGGACCTATTCCCTGACATATCCAGCCACATCTTCTAATAGGTGTGAACATAATGGATTCGTTTATTCCTTTTGAAGGCAGGCCCACTGCTGCACGCCTGCTGTGGCGGTTGCTGCAGCAGGTGACAAAACACCAGGGCCATACTTCTGGTACCTCGGCATCCTCCCCACAGAGAAGTAAAATGTCATTGGAGCAAATTACTGACCGAATACTTTGGAGTCTATAAATATTAAATTGCACAGGCTTTCATATAAAATTCAGGCTCTGGTCAGTCCTGGGAGGAGAGGCGTCTGGATAGTGTGAGGGGGAGGGGAGCGGTTGCCAGTGGAGAGAATAAAGTCCTCAAAGGGCAGGATCGAGGCTGGCTCTGTGGGCTGTAGTTAGTGGGGGCATAGCTCTGGCTAAAGAAGAAGCAGTGGAGAGTGGGGTACAAAGAGCAGGGAGGTGGAAAACTCAAGTGTGACTGTCACCTCATTTGAGGCTTTACGGTTAGGGGTATGTATGGTTTGAGGGCAAGCTTTGTGCTGCTCTTACCCGGCCCACGACTCCAATGTTGTGCTTGCTCCTTCTGGGATGGCCCCCCTCAGAGCCTCCCCAGGCCACAGGCTGTCCTCTTCTTCCAGTTCTCCTGCTGCAGCTGGCCCAGGCTCCACCCCACACCGGGCCACCTGCACTCACTGTAGCCTGTGAGGACTCCGAGTGTACCGGCTGCTTTGTGCCAGTTTGTGTGTCTAGAGCAAGCATGCTGCGTGGGTTATCACACCACCTCGGCTCAACTGGGGAGTGTCTTCTGTGACTCTGGGATCTCTTGATGCCAGCAGTGATCAGTTGCTCTGATGTGCCAAGACCCAGTGCTCAGTCCTTTAAATGCATCACCTCACTGTGAGATCTTCCCATAGTAGGATGAGGTGGGAACTGCAGCACATTCTGCAGGCCACAGCTGAAGACACTGAGGCCCAGAAAAGTGAACGACTTGCTTGGGGTCACATGCAGAGCCGACGGAGTCCTGTGGCTCTTGGTGGCTGAGTCTGGATTCAGCCGGGGCTTTCTGACCCCAGACCTGGACTCTCATTGTGAGCCTGTCCTGTGAACCCACAACTTCAGCGTGAGCTTGTCCTGGGTCCTGTGTCCTTGGTTCTCCAGAGTGAGCCTGTCCTGTGTCCCAGGTCCATCCATCATGGACCTGTCCGGTGTCCTAGGTCCTCCAGTGAGGACCTGTACTGTGCCCCTGGCCCGTCCAGTGCACTGTGCGTGAGAGCCAGCCTCCCCTTCCGGGCAGGGCCCGCCCTCCTGGCCGCTGGCCAAACGCGCTCTCTCCCTTGCAGGCATCCCCACGCTCATCGTGCTGGACCCACAAGGCGAGGTGATCACACGGCAGGGACGGGTGGAGGTGCTCAATGACGAGGACTGCAGGGAGTTCCCGTGGCACCCCAAGCCTGTGCTGGAGCTCTCCGACTCCAACGCCGTGCAACTCAACGAGGGCCCCTGCCTCGTCCTTTTTGTAGGTATGACTCTCAGCGGGGGCCCCAGTCAGGGAAGTGGATGGGGTGGGCCTCACTTGGGAGGAGTCCGTCCCTGCAGCCTGCTTCTGTCAGTCACTACCAGTGGAGCCTGGGCCTTTGTCCCTTCCCAGCAGCCATGGTTTATTCATGGCCGCCCTCCACCCCCCACCCCTGCCGGGAAGTGCTCTGGAGCTGCTGTGCTCTCCTTCCTAGCTGCTCCCCAGCTGGGCAGAATAGGTCAGGTCAAGGATGTCCTCAGCCCCCCATGAACAGTTCCCTTGTCGGAGAGAGGCAAAGTGGCACACACAGCAGCTATGGGGGCTGGGCGCCCTCTGCCCAAGGCTCACCCCAGGCTGCCTCTGCTGGTCCCCTGCACATCCCTGGCTCATCCTCCTCAGCTATACTAGGTTCTCTCCCCATCTCACCCACTCCAGTGCTCAGTGGGTAACTGCTCAGCCTGGGCAGGAGGTCACAGGAGTGTCTACTCCAGGCTCCCTGCAGCCAGTGGGATAGCCCTGATTCCTTCTGCAAACTGAGCAATAGCTGGCCATGGGCCACCTGACCCTCTGCCCTAGAACTTGTTGTTCCCCTCCAACTCAAAATTATTGCACGAGAATCATGGCTGAGACACTCCCATACCTACTTCTTTAGGGACTGTTCTCTGGAGATCTGGATTGGGAGCCTCCATAGGAGGAGCCAACATGCAGACCCAAGGGCATTCTTCAGCACACTGGCATGCTGGCTGGTTCTGCACTCGGAGAGGAAGTGCCCTTCGGGAGAGATGGCCTTGGGAATTATTCACCTTGGCGCTTCCCTGCCTGCTGCAGGCTGACACACCCACATCCTGAGGCGGGTTGGGAAACACTTCGGAACCTGGGGACAATTAGGAACTTCATGATCATGTGCAGATGTAGAAATGGTCACAGAGAGGTAGAGCACCTTGTGCAGAATCACACAGCAAGTTAGGCGGATCTAGGGTGTCCTGCCAAGTCTCTCCAGGAAGACTCGGAGTCCCGAGGTCATGACTTCTCATTCTTTGTTTGAGAGAAAAACTCCCTGGGACTACAGGCCCTGGCTCAGGGGAAGATCAGTTTCCAGGATAGGCTTGTGAACAATTCAGTGGAAAGAACTACTGGGCATTAGTGCCACTTGGTGCAGCAAGGTGTTCCTGGTGAGCCTGGGGCAGAGTGTGTTATGTGAGTGCGCTCTGCAGCTTGTATGTAGCGCGTGTGTGTATACATATGCTCATGTATGCAGACACATTTGCAACTGCAGGAAACAAGACCTGTGTCTGAGGGGAAGTTCTTTTTCCATTCCAGAGCTGCTTAGGTGGGCATTTCTGCAGCTCAGGCCCTGGGCCCAGGCCCACTCAGGGTGCCACTCTGTTTGTTTGACAAGCCAGTGTTGCTTCCTGTCTTCCCCACCCCCATTACAGATTCTGAAGATGACGGAGAGTCCGAGGCAGCCAAGCAGCTGATTCAGCCAATCGCTGAGAAAATCATTGCCAAGTACAAAGCCAAAGAGGAGGAGGCACCACTTCTATTCTTTGTAGCTGGGGAGGTGAGTACAGAGGAAGGGCTGGCCCCGGCAAGGCTGCCTCTGCTGGGGACTGCTAGGACATGAGTCACACAGGCCTCGGGGACATTTGAAGGGACCATAGGGTCAGGACTGCCTGTGATTCTGGGAGAGTCCACAGACAAATGTGGACTCTCCCAGAAGAACAGGTGTGTCACTGGCCATGGAAAACTATTTCCTACCCTGCTGCTTCCTCTTCCCATCCTCCTCACTCAGCGGCCACAGATCAGCAGGAAGCCCCGCCAGAACAGTTTCCCACCCAGGCTGCTGGGGAAAGCAGCCACCACAAACAGTGAGATCCACACTGACTCCCTCGGTGCTGGGTCAGAACCAGAGTCGGCTCCGTTAGCCCCTCTGCACCAGCCTGCGACTAGGGATCTTGACTTGGGCTGTAGCTCAGACCTGCAGTCACCCCCCAGCCCAGGGAGCGTGCTGAGTTGGAAATCGCTGCCATTCCCGATTTCTTTCCCCCAACGCTGTCCCTTGAAGGCCTCCAGCTGGGCTGGACCTCTCAGGGAACTTTCCACAGGGTGGGAAGGCAGGGCCCTGCAGGAAAGCCACCTCCGGCAGGCGCCTGGCTCCCTGGGGCATGGGACCCTCATTCTGCAGAAGGAGCCATCTCTGCAAGATGGGCGGCCCGTCGCAGGCGCTCCGCCTCACTTCCACCCCAGGAGCCTCCTTCACGCATGCTCCACTGCCTCCCACCCCAGCCTGTGCCCCCACACTCTAATTGTCAGCAGACCCTTCTTAAAGCCACCCTGCCCTGGGTGCACCCGTCTGTACCTCTTGTCGGTCAGAGCTCCGCGCTCATTTCACGCTGTATTTGGATCCCAGGAGAGGCGCAGAGGAGGCAGCAGCAGCCAGACACCCTGAACCACCCATTCATCACCCCCTCAATAGCCGCCCCTGCCCAGCCCCACAGGGCCCCTCGCAGGCAGCTCCAGTCGCCCGCTTAGCCCTGGGTTGGAGGGGAACAAAGAGGGTTGCAGGCCCTGCCTTGGGGCCACACCAGCCATCCCACACAAAGGCCACGGAGGCTGCTCTGAATGTATTAAACTCTAACCCCTGTAGAATGGCTTGAGAGAAAAGATGGGTGCAGAACAGAAGGGGCTGTGGGGTGGGGGCGGGGCTTTAGAAATGTGGCTGAAAAGCAGCATTTGCAGGTCCTCTTTGCACCAGGCACCCAGCCAAGTACCTCACCTGCACTCTGGCTGTGCTCCTCACCTCTCTGGCTGGGAGCATAATCACTGTTCTGCTTCCCAGGAGGAAAGCAAGGCTTAGAGTGAGGGGCTGTTCTGAGGCGGTTCACTGGGCTCCTGTGCCAGGCTGGGCTGGCAGTGCTGGCAGCTCATGGACCCATCACATCAGCCTTATGTCATCAAGTCAAGTGTTGGGAGCCATTGTCATATCCGTATTTCAGGGAATGAGATCTGGGCTCTGAGCAGTGACTTGCCAAAGTCACAGAGTAAGTAGGGAGCAGAGAGGGGAGTGAGGCCAGTGTGACTCCAGAAGCAGTGCTCTTCCTCTTCCTGTCCCTGTACTCTGATAAATGACCCCACTCAGGCTTACAGGCATGAGGATGGATGGGGCAGGAGGAAGGCTCCCCAGGCCAGCAAGCCGGACAGAGGAGCCTGTGTCATCCTTTGCTGTAGCTCCCCACCTGGCTGCCCGCTCTTCCTGTGTGCGTCACCTGGGCTCATGGCCTTGGTGACTTTCCTGGCCCAGTTTTCTGTCCTGGCCCAGTTTTTTGTGCTTGGGAGCAAGGCAACCTGGAACTGGGGGTGGGTCCAGGGAGCTGGCACATCAGGCATTGACTGCACTCCATCCCAGGGCTGTGCAGGGGCAGGGGGACCCTTGTTTCTGTCTTGATCCTGTCCCCTGTGGCAGGCAGAAGTTATCCCTTCTGAAACCTTCAGAGGCATTAAAATTCATCTGCCTGTGGTTTGCTCAGAGGGAGCGAGGAAGGAGGCAGCAGAGTGCTTGGCTTGGTCCAGGCCTCCTAATGGGAACTGGACGCAGGGTGTTTGTCCAGGTGTCTCCCTGTGTTTATCATGAGGGTTTTCTATTAACCCACATGGAGGGCTGAACTAGGTGGAAAGCGCCAGAGGTGTAGACTCGCCTAGCATTGCTGGGAAGTGTATGTGGTTCTGGGGGTGTCGTTAGGAGCAGAGAGCATCACTTACAATTTTCCTGAAGATCTGCCTTTTGAGAAAGGCATGTTGTCTCAGAAGCCAGTGAGCTGTAAATTCCATGCCTCCTGCTGCCCACCATTTAAGGCCAGGAATACCCTAAGTTATTTCTCTGTTGGGCAACTCAGGTTTTTCTTATTCAGTTTAGAATCTTGTGCATTTTACAAGGAAACACCTTCAGGGAGAGTATGTTGAGTTCATATTCTGTTTTTTCCCAGTGGGAGTCAACAGTGTGGAGGGTAATTTCAACCAGTTGCTGCCTTACAATCCTTTCTCCTTGTCTCTGGATTTCTGTGTTTGCTTTTTATTTGAGTAAGACTGTGGTCTGGTATTAGGGAAGTTCACCTGGACAGCTGCTGAGAATGCATGGTCAAGGGCCAGCTTCCTTCTCAGATAAATACAGTGAAACTGCATAGGCTTCCATAGTGCTTAAATAGCCCTATATTCTGGGACCGGCTGACAGTGCAACTCCTGCCCTCCCTGAAACCATGGGATGGGGGCAGGGGTAGTGAGCTGTTTCTGTTTAAAAACATTCCAGAGTTGAAGTCTAGATTGGCTTCAGATAGTCCATGGTGGGGCTGCAAATAATTGAGAGTTGGTTACAAAAATAAGTAATCGAAGGACATCACATTTTTTTAAAAAGCAGAGGACATGTTAAAGTTGTGTTCAGAGCCCGGCTCGGTGGCTCAGCCTGTAATCCCGTGCCTTTGGGAGGCTGAGGTGAGTGAATTGCCTGAGCCCGCGGGTTCGAGACCCGCCTGGGCAGCGAGACCTCATCTCTACAATAAATCAAAAAATCAGCTGGGCGTGGTGGCACATGCTTGTAATTCCGGCTACTCGGAAGGCTGAGGCGGAAGGATCGCTGGAGCCCAGCAGGCCGAGGCTGCGGTGGCCGGGAGTGGCCACTGCGCTCCAGTCTGGGCGACCGAGTGAGACTCCAACTCAAAAAAATAAAAAATAAAAAAAATAAAGTTGTGTTCATGCTAATAAAGATGATTTTTCTGAATGGTGGGTCAAAAAAAAAAAAAAGATGACTTGCTGGTGGCTGGCAGATGCAGAGAGAACTTTACAAACAGCCTCCCCTTCCCTAAGGCAGGGCAGGCTCCAGGCTTCCCTTTCTAAGAGCCTTGAGGAAAGCCTGCTCTTAGGGGTTGCAGCGCAGTCCCACTTCCATGCCAGCTGGGGTGACTGGGTCCAAGGCACTCTCCACCTTTTAAAAAAACTTCCTGGTTTTCTCTCCCTTCTGGTGACTTCAGGATGACATGACTGACTCCCTGCGAGATTACACCAACCTACCTGAGGCTGCTCCTTTGCTCACCATCCTGGACATGTCAGCCCGGGCCAAGTATGTGATGGACGTGGAAGAGATCACCCCTGCCATCGTGGAGGCCTTTGTGAATGACTTCCTAGCAGAAAAGCTCAAACCAGAGCCCATCTAGTGGGGCTGTGGCCTCCTGAGACGTTATTTAAAACTCAGTCTTCTCCTCCTCCTCCCCTTCCTTCCCTCCGCCCTTGGACTTTCCAGTGTGTCCTGCATCACACAACCCAAGTGTCCAACCTCTCTGTGGTGCCTTGTTTCTGCGTTAACTCCTCAGCTAGCACCCTAGGGTGTACATCCTCTCAGCAGCAGCAGAACCCACGGTGTTTAGAAACTCTGCTTGGGATCGTGGGTGTGGCATATTCTGGCAGAATGGGGATGGCATCACTCTCTGAGTCTCTTGGGGAAGGATCTGCCAGGGGGTTCTTTGGCAAATGAGAAGGGCCAGTGAGTGGTCAGGGCTCTGGCTCTGACTCTGGCAGCAGCACGCACACACACAGCCCAAGACAGCCAGAGGGGACTGTCCAGAGACACACATCCTTGCAGGGGAGAGCAGAGCAGGGGGTGCACAGCCTCGGTAGACATGAGCTTAGAGCTGTTGGGAAGAACATCCTTTCCTAAGTGATGCAGTCTTTCTTGGTCCAAGGGAAACAGCCGCATCTCTGTGTGTTCTTGGGTAGCAGAGCACCAGATCTAGAAGCTTGTGGGGTTTTGTGGTAAGAAAAATGAGTGGCGAAGTCATGCAGCCATTGCCTACTTTTGATGCACTCCCACCTTGCGATAAGTTTCTCAGTCCTTCTTTACATCTCCTTTCTTATCTTGACCTTTCCCAAGTTTCTCCCTGCTCATACCAACAGCTCCCATGATCTTGGAATTTTGTTAATAAATTCTTCCCCTTGGTCATCTTCCCAAAAGACTCTGCCCTGAGTTCTCAGAAGGGCACCGCCTAGCCAGCACACACCCAGCTCTGTGGCCGCTGGACCTCTGCTTAGGTGTCTGTGCACACTTTTGGTTACCCATCATTCCCTTTTCTTTTCAAAGCAGAACTAAAAAGAGATGAGAAATTACCAGAAGCCTTGCTTTTTCCTGAGAACCTGCAAAAGGAGCTGTGCCCGAGTGGGAGTGAGGGCAGAAGGCATGTCAACTACGAGGAGGTCTTGGGTCCCCTTGGCTAGGCGGGTAGCATGACCTCTTATTGGGACTGAACTGACCACACAAAGGGAAACAACGCCTATGTTCTTAGGATCTGCGATGAAGGGCTTTGGCCCAGGGACTCACGGGTTTTAGCCTCACTCAGTCAGGTGTCAGGCTCTTTAAACACTCCTTACCTCGGCTCCACTCAGCACTCTGCCAACCAAAACCATTGATTTGGAAGACCCATCCCTGCCCCCCTAAGCTGTCAACACTGTTGTTCCTTGCCAAATTGGATTGTTGGTTTGTAGTTCAGAGGTACAAAATTAGTGGGTATTTAGACTGTTATTTGATGTTGCCAGCCGGAAATGCAATCACCTAGTAAGAAATAAAGCAGGCATCTCTGGACGTTATCAACTACTTGCCTTTTCCTGTCCTTAATAACAAGAAGATTTTTTATTTGTGGTTCTGTGCTCTATTAGGGGGTGGGCAGTGGAGGGTGGGGCACAGAGAACCTCTCGGCTTCCACTGGATAACTGGTATCTGTATTCTGAATTTTTGAGAACTCCAAGGTGTAACATGGTCACCCATGAGACCTTCTCCGCTGCCAGAAGCCAGGAAGCTCACTTGGATTAGAGTGCCAGAGGCACATCCCTCCCGGGGCTCTGGCCACCTCTCTCCTGGTTTAATGTGGCCGTTGACAAAGGGGGGATTCTTAGATCATACAGATTGCTGTGGACGCTTTTGCTCATTCCCTCCCCATGAGACAGCCAAGTGCTCTGAAGCCTGAGAAAGTTGGTTGAGGAAACCAAGGAAATCATGTGTGGGTTTCACTGGGAAGAATGGGTCAAGAGATGGAGACCCTTAAACCCAGCTCTGTCCTCGGGCTAGGGGCTTCTCTGGAAACTCTGCCAGTGTCTCCCTTTGTGGGGGGAGGTGGGAACCTCCCTTAGGAGATGGGCAGGATTTCTGTCCATGTACTGTATCATAATGGCCTTGGAGGGAAGGCAGTCTCTTAGCAGTTACTTACCCTTGGGAGACAGAAGAAACAAAGGCCCATGAGGAGTTGCTGTCATTGTAACAGAAAAATTAGGTCATTTGTGATACTTTGGTGGCCCTTACTGGGCTGACTCTTCTGAACCGTCACTAATGTCAACTGGATCCTTGACATCAGAATTTCCCCTTTAGAGCCTATGTATAGGTTCATTGAGATCAGTGGGAAAGGCTTAGTAAAAAGGTTTCAGTTTATATAGTGACTGCTTCGGGGGAAAACATTAGGAAGAATCACTTCTTGAGGGCCAGTGAAAAATCCCTTTCTTGATAGAGTGACAGATTGTAAAGGTTATTGATGTAGACAAAGTGGGTGGCATGATAATTCCCACCAAGCAGCTCCAAAATACCTTAAAATTCTTGCTGCTAATTGGAAGCAGGTTAAAACACCAGCTGCGACATTCAAGGGTTTCCGCCAGCAGCCAGGGAAACCATGCCCTGCAGGTTAAGACAGGAAGGTGGCTGTAAAAGTGCCACCCTGGGGTTCCCAGATTTGTGCTCGCCACAATGACTTCCAGATCTCATTCTCACAACAGAGATGAGATTTTTAAAAACTCTCCCACCATTAAAAATCTGTTTAATAAAATATGGGGCTGGTGTGTACAATAGGCAGGTGAAAACCAGCTTCTTTTTCAGGAGTGAGATGACTTCCTGTTATTGCTTCTCCCCACCTACTGTCCTTGAAATCGATGGCTGTCACTTAGAGCCAGGACTGTGTTGGCACCAGCTAAGCTCAAGCGGTAATTTTCGGCCAGACTTTGTTTTTTCTTGTTGCCTAATTAAAGACACTGAAAAGCTGTTCCCCCTCCTGCTGCCTTGTTCCAGGGCAGCAAACGGAACTCAGCAGTGATACGTAGCAGGATGTAGCCCAGGAACAGACGAGTGGGATCTAACTCAGTGCTACCCTGTTTAGCCTAGGGAGAAAGACTTGATGTGTGTGGATGCATGCATGGACACGCTGCACACTGGGAATTGTAGCACTGGGAGGGACCTGAGCGAGGGGCTGGTTCCACCCCTCCAGCCACACAGGCGGCACACTCTGTTCACCATGCCAGTACCCTGGGCAAGCCCACACTTGCCCAATTGGTCTGGAATGCCATTGTGGTGCAGGCTGTGGGGTAGCTATGCACAGGAGCTCACAGAGGTTCAGGAGTGGCCCCTGCAGCTTTTCTCTGGGGGCTGCCTTGGGAACCAAGGACTGACTTGGAGGCCCCGAGCTCAGAAGGATCTTTCGAGTGCCCTGAACAGTTGTGTAGAAGCAATGAGTACCTGAGCCACATCCCTCATTGCCAGTATCAACAGGGACAGGAGTGCATACCCTGCTTTCCTTCAAGCAGGCTGCTTAAGGGAAAACTCGGGACAAATAGCTGTTGACCGTTAGCTTTGTTGTCAGTGCTAATGGTCTGTGAGCAAGTGTGAAGGATGAGATACTTTGCAGGAAGCAAAAGGCTGTACGAAAGAACATTCTATATTGGCTCTGCCTCATGGCTGGGACTTCCTCTCCAGGGGAAACATGACAGGATGTTCTAGGCACACCTTATATGTGAAAGCACGAAGATAAGTAAGTTTGAAGGTAAGTATGCCAATTACCATTTTTCAAGGCTTAAATGAGTCTTGCTCCCTGGGGTTTTGGAATACTTCCCAGGAAACATGTTGGTAGCCTTGGGTGGAGCACATTCTGAGGGACTGTTGTGTTTCCATGAAATGACGTGCCAACACATGAAAGCCTCTGTCCCCAGGTCTATAGGCCACAGGCAGCCCAAGATGCAAACAAGATTGAAACCCCAAGTCTTGGAGTTTAAAAGTGGCAACATGAATGTTTCCCTGGAAAAACAAAAGTGAGCCCACGTCAGGTGGCTCCTGAGGGGAGAGGCGCTAGCCTTAGTGCTTTCTGGGACCTAAGCTTGGGGACCTAAGCTTGGGGAGCTGGGGCTGCTGTTACTCCAGGGGCAAGAAGAAGGAGGTCCCGGGTGACTTCACAGTCCCGAGGCCTGCTTACCCCTACCCAGGAGCTGGAGCTGTGGGAGGAGAGCGGTCTCTGCTCTCCCTGCCCCAAGCGCTAACTGAAGGGCTAAGCAGTGGGCTCTGGCTCCCAGCGTGAGCTCCAGGCACACTGGGACAACTGTTTTGCCCTGAGGTAAAGTTGTGGCAGTTTTTCCTGCTGCAGCCACTTCTCATTTCTGTCCACTTTCTCCTGTTTTTGTTCCACCATCCTCCTGTACTCAGATTCTTTCTTCTGCCGAGACTGTGTGAGACAATCCGGGTGGCTCTTCAACTTCAGCACCTCTGGGCACTAATGGCTGGCAAAACGCTCTCTCTATGGTGAAGGAAGACTTGCCTCTATCCTTTTCTCCCTTTTCCAGCTATCTGAACCCAGGAAAAACCCTGACCCCTCCTGTCAGCCCTGGGAGTGGTTTTGAGGCATCGCCTGCCACCTTGTGGCAAAAGCTACCATTACGGCCATGCCTCAACACAAAGACCCAGGAGAGCCCCACCAACATTCTGACAATGTCTCTCTTTAGCAGTGTGTTTTTGTCATATATTGCTCGGTTTAATCCTACTTACTGGAGAAACGGTAACAGATTAAATGTTAGCCTCAAAATTGAAGATTCAAGATCGTGATTTTCCAATACCACTCAGCAAATAAGAACTTAACTACCACTTGCTACCCGTAGTCACTTGAAAGGACAATTTGCTCCCACCCCCACCCCCTCAACCTCCTATTATACTCAAGAATATACAGAGACAACTCATGAGGTAGTGTATACAAGCCAGTGACTCTCAATTTCTTTCTCTTCTCACACCCAGGATGATAAAATGGGTTGATTTGCCAGTGTCGTGTGTGTGTATGTGTGTGTGTGTGTGTTTTGAGTCAGAGTCTCACTCTGTCACCCAGGCTGGAGTGCAGTGGCATGCTCATGGCCACCACAGCCTCAACATGCTGGGCTCAGGCGATCCTTCCAAGTAGCTGGAACCACAGGCGTGCGCAACCATGCCCAGCTAATTTTTTTGATGGATTGTAGAGACGAGGTCTTGCCAAGTTGCCCAGGCTGGTCTCGAACCCATGGGCTCAGGCAATCCATTTGCCTCCACCTCCCAAAGTGCTGGGATTACAGGTGCGAGCCACTGTGCCCAGCTTGCTTTGTTTTTCTAAACAACATTGATCTTTTAGTTTCTAGCAAAAACCAGCAGAAATATAACCCAAGGACACAAATCACAGGAGACTGGTTTTGTGTTGGAAAGACGTGAGCTTCCTCTCAGTGACTTCCGTGACTTTAGCATTATTCTAAGGTGTTGAGAGCCTGAATGGCAATGGACTTGAGTGGTGTGAATTTGCATTCTCTGGGTTCTCGGCCTGACGCGCTGGCATGATAGGTGATATGGTCCTTTCATCTCTTGTGGAGTTTGCCAACTCTGCTCCAGCCATAGAGAGCAGCAGTGCAGGATAAAGGCTGGGCGTTCTTCTACTTTCTAAAAGCTGCCCTGAGGTGGAGGGTCTCAATAGTCTGTGGGCCACTTGCATCGACAATTTGTATGGGGCTCTGGACAGGCCCAGACTATGGGACACCAGAGCAGATGTCCAGGTGAGTTAGCCTGGGGGACACAGCCAACCAGGCCTGCCAAGCAATCCCACTCTGCCACTTGGGACATGGATCATGCTCAATCATTTGGTTCTCCTAAGAGGACGTTTCAGCAGGAAGTTGGAGTGAAAGGGGAAGAAAGCGGGAATGGGGGGACATGGTTTCTCCCAGACACATCAGCAGCTCACCTGACCTCCCTGGAATGAGCAGCTGATGGGCATCAGGCATCAAAACTGTCACAGGAGTCAGTGGACAGAGCAATGTGGGAAAATGACACTTGTAGTATCATCTTCCATGCCAACCCTGTTCTTTGTGGTTGCAAAAGCAGTGCTTAAAGTGGATCCCATGCTCCAGGCCACCCACCCCCTTCCCACAGTTCCTTATAAACAATGATTACCATCAACAGTTGCCCTCATGTCCCTGGCTACAGGCTCTTGGGCACCTGGTAAGTAAAGATCTAGCCTGCCATGGTCCCCTGGGGAGCTGAGAGAACAGCAGGGCCCTGCTGCAGTGTTGTGGACCCGGGAGCCCCCATCTCTCATCCTCAGAACCTCAGCCACCCTCCCCTCACAGAATTCTTCTGTTCACAGAGCATCCAGGAACATTGGAATTTTCCTAAATTCTGTTCCACTGGGGGGGGGGGTCTTAAATGTGAGTTTAAGTACATTACTACATTTAACCAACAGTGTTATTTATAGAAAGTAGGACAAAACCAGGGCACTAGTAAAAAAGTTGAAGCTTTCTTGACAGATGCACTTGATTTCTGAACACAGTTTTTTCCTTTTCTACATGCAGTCCTCAAAAATCTATCTGTAGAGATGCTAAGAAGTTATGACACCACCCGTTGAATTAAGCTGTTTCCACCGATCCACAAACAGTGGTTGTTTACAGGAAGGCCCGAACACACAATCTGAGACTGACATTTAGAACCCAAGCCCTAAGAACAGCTAGCTACTGAACGCCATGCCCTGAGGCCTCCTGAGTCATCCTGAGTTGTTGATCTCTTAGCACCACTAGGCCCCAGATGAAAAGACAGGCACTTGAGACCCACTGGCCACACTTCAACACCACTTTTTAATGTCACCTACTTGTTCTACACTTCATAGGAACTTACTTTCCAATAATCAGATGTGACGGCCATGACCCGTAACCAGTGTTCCACGACTGCAAAACTACCCTCGATCCAAGATGATGCCTTCACAGGAACTTTCTGGGCACAGAAGTGCTTCTTAGCTGACAATTTTTAAAAACACATATAGAGTCATGTGGATCATCAATTTGTGTTGTCACACACAACTTCAAGATCAGCAAAGAAAAGGGAGATTGAGGAAGAAGTTTGATCTTTGTTATTTCTGAGGAGTAACAGAACTTCATGAAAATTCTTCTTTTTCCTATAAGCACACGATGGCATTTACACCTACCTCCTGAATATGGGCCTGAGAAGCCACAGTCACCGAATCTGCCACCCTCCTAACAACGTGCCGGGGCAGGAGGAGCTGGAGACATCCTCAAATCAAGAACTCCCATGTCCCCTCTCAGTGGTAACTCCTGTCCCTGCTCAAGTGTTCCGCCTTTATTCGCAGTTGTCTTTTCCCTTCAAAAAGCAGGATGCTGGCAGCCATGGCAGAGTTGAGGCTGTCCACACCAGGCACGACAGGGATCAGCAGCCTCTTGCCCCCAGTGCTCTCTGCCAACTGCAGGGACTCCAGGCTCACGCCATGGGTCTCCCCACCAACGACCACAGCTGCAGGTGCCTCCGTCCAGTCCAAGTCATAATTCTGAACCTCAATCTCAGGAAGCCAGTTTTTCCTGGCTCCAGTTTCTAGATCTTCCTCCTCTTCTTCATACTTGCGAAACTTCAGGAATCGCCGATCACACACCCAGCCATGGTCACTGGCTTTATTAGACATTAGGGCCTGGGCATAGAGGCCACAGTTGTCAGCCACAAAGACCCGGGAGGCTGGGGGCAAGTAATTGGGTACTGTTTCCCATTCCAGATTATTGATAATGGGCACCTGGAAATGCGCACCCATACCTGCCCGTAGCACTTTGGGCTCCCAGGCATCTACACAGCCTAGAAGAGAAAAAGATAGGATATAGTCAAAATTTTCAAAATCGTCCCAGACTAGGGAAGTTTGGAGCAAATCAGATTAATTTTGAATCAGGAGATACACAAAAGTTCTTCTATTATTGCTTTGAGATCTGGGACCTTCTGATTCCCCAATTAGGACAGCCTCCAACAAAGGGACTGTAGGATTAATTCCTGTTAGTGCTGAAAACATTTTATTCATCCCTTCAACATTTTCCATACACATGTGCCAGACATTGTAGAGAAGATGCAAAGGAATTAAAACAAAATCCCCAACCCCAAGGAATTCATGGTATAGTGGGTGGTGGTGCTGGGGCAATGCTTAAACAAATGACTGCAATATCAGTAGTAACTGGCACAAAAGAAGTACAGATAGGGTTAACAGAAAACCCATGTACAAAGTAGGGCAATCAAGAAAACATCCAGCCGGGCTTGGTGGCTCAGCCTGTAATCCCGCGCCTTTGGGAGGCTGAGGCGAGTGGATTGCCTGAGCCCGTGGATCTGAGACCAATAAATCAAAAAATTAGCCGGGCGTGGTAGCGCATGCCTGTAGTTCCAGCTACTCGGAAGGCTGAGGCGAAAGGATCGCCGGAGCCCAGCAGGTCGAGGCTGCGGTGGCCGGGAGCGGCCACTGCACTCCAGTCTGGGCGACAGAGTGAGACTCCAACTCAAAAAAAAAACAACCCAAAAAACAAAACATCCAGAAGACCTTGAGTTAGCTCTTGTCAGAGAAAAGCCCAGGTAGAGGAAAAAGTTATAGAAGTGGGGAGTGCCACAGCCGCAGCACTGCAAACAAGGAGTGCAGGTCAATTAATGGGTGGGTGCGGTGGGAGAGGAGATGGGAGGCAGGCAGGTCAGGTTAAGGGAGAGTGGTATTGCGGAGCTGAGGAGTTCTGGGTTTTATCAGAAGACAATGTTGTGCTATCAAGGGATTTAAAGCAAAGCAGTGACAAAATGGGATTTGTTTCAGGAAGACCCATTTGTCTTCAATGTCCAATCTGAATTGGAGCAGGGAAGAATGAGATGGGGAAATTAGGGGGGGAGGTGATTACAGCAACCCAGACAGCAGCCTTGCCACTCACACTCCCCTCATCACACGCAGGACAGCTAGCCAAACCTTCTCTTACATACCTTCACTTGCCAAGTCCAACCGCTTCAATGCACTGGCTGAACGGCAGACACATGGCCTCTCCCAGTGTCTACTGCTCACCGAGGCAGGCTGGGAGAAATGGCATGAGAAGGGCCCCTCACAGTGCCTGCAACACCTGTTTACCATCCTCCCCTAACTTGTTAACACAAGTCTCCTCATGACAAGTTAAAAGTTTATCTGTTGGCCGGGAATGGTGGCTCACACCTATAATCCCAGCACGTTGGGAGGCTGAGGTGAGAGGATTGCCTGAGCCCAGGGGTTCGAGAC